TTTAACTGTTTATTTGGGCGAACCTGTGCCCGGTAGAGGGAAAGTCTAATTACAGCAGCAGTCTTGCACAGATAGCAGTCTCGGAATGATAGCGGCGAACGCAGCGTCGGCCTTCGATCAACTACTGACAAGCGGCGAAGCGCGTCGGCATTTATACCCTTGCCGTTGAATGTTCTATCGCTGGCGGTGGCGTAGGTTCCAGAACAATCTGTACCGTTCGCACAGTGGGCGTGATCTTATCGAAATGATCTACTACAGTCCGGAACCTTCTCGAAACCTGCAGGCGCGGTTTGCGCCGAGAATCGTGTGGCGTTTCGGAACGATAACAAAAACTTGTGAAATGGAACGTGGCAATATACTGCCGGAAATTCATGGGATTAGCTCTCGTCCTATCATTTAATTTTTCTTTAAAGTGAATGTCCCTGGCATTTTATACGTTTTTATATTGTGTAATCTGGCATTATTTGTGATGGGGACAAGTACCTTTTGTTCGCTTGAGTTTAGCGAATAACCGCATACTCTTGCTGATCAGCTGCAGTAGTCGTGATGTCCCCCTCCTTCCGGCTTTCTGCATTTTTCATTTTATAAGAATCTGCACTTGATACACGTACGTCAATGAGTTCAGATGAATTTTTGACAAGACACCCCAGTTCAACAGCCTAACCTGCCGCGCATTCGAAGACCGGTATATAACTATAGCAAAGGCACACAGCGGCCAATAAAGTAGTCAGGCAAACATGCTCGAAGATGGGCCAGGTTTTATAAGCACCGGTACTTCACCAAACTTCAGTGTGACTCTGCGCACGGCCAGCCATGTTTTATGTCGCTGCAGGGGGCCGGTGACCTGGTAAGACTCTATGCGTCGTAACTAGCGACTAGCGCAGCTCCACAATACGGGATGAGCTAGTTGATAGCTGATACGATAGGCGTGCAAACCCGGACGAGGCATGTTTAAATTTCTCGAGGGAGGGGGCGAGGCTCGTGCCCGGTGTGCCACACCCTGGCTACGCCCCGGACACAGCAGTCAAGGCACCAAAAATGCCGACCAACAACAGCAAAGGCGCACTGCGGCGAAGAAAGTACTCGGGCGAACTCCTCGGCGAATGTCAGTGCAGTCAGCGCATAACGGAGCTGTGGCAGCAGCGATCTGTTGCTGCGCTCGCGGCGCCTAGAAGCGGCCGTCGATGCTCGCGCGTTCAGGTTACGAAAATCGGGCGGTTGTAGTACATCCCATCCGACGAGAACACAAATGTGTCGTTCAAGGTCATGATACCCCACACCTGGAAAGGAGCACTGTATCGCTTCTTTCGCGATTCGGGCATCGCACGCGATCGGGCTTGCCATATTTACCCGATTCCGACGCGGCCTTTCAGAAAAAGGCCCCACAATCACATAAACGTTGGATTCGGGTGCCAACCAAAAAGTTACCGCCCAAGCTCTCCGTAGAAATGGTTAACCAGCGGAAGCTGAAACGTTCGTGTTGTTTAGCAATGAGTTCATTCCGACGCTGTACTGAAGCCTTTTAGAATTATTGATTACCGTGTTCGTGCTTCTTAATGAGGTTATACACGTTTTGCTTGGGTTTACCACAGTGTTTATTTAACATGCCGCACATAATGCCTCGCATGATTACGGTCATAAAACATTGTAATGAATGGTTAAATACGCGTCGCAATGCGATAATTGCAGTGGTTGTTCTCGATACACAGGCGGTTACAGGCACCGCAGCCGAAGCCAAACTGCCGCTGGAGAAACCCCCAGCGAATGTGGGGCGAACGCGCTCCAGCAATCACATTGATGCCACATCGCCACGTGTTGCCAGCGTTTGACATCACGAGCTAACTCAGCGGCGTTTGACATCGCGAGCTAATGCACAACGCAGCCAAGGGCGCGCGCACTTAGATATATAGTTACGTCGTTCGCAGCGTCGTATATCTATATTTATATATATATACGACGCTGCGAATGACGTAACTGATAACAGAGCTGATGGAGACCGCTCATGACACCGGTGCAGGACGATTTTTGTTTCTCCTATAGCCATATACAGCTTTCGATGTAAAACTACCCCATAGCTGTCCACTGAGATGACTATTATGTGCCGTGACCGCCTGTATTTACCGTTTATCAGTTGCTGGAAACAATGGTTGCACATGCTGCTTGCGGCTTTCTTCGTCGCTGAAGGCATTTGCAATAGGTCCCGTGCTGTCGTTGTACGTTGTGCAATCTCAGCCACTTTGTTCAAGAATGGCTGCAGCAGCTACGAAGACGCGTTGTCTGCCACGAAAATAGCGTTAAACGTTAATTTAAACGTTACGTTATTTTCCATATGAAAAGAGCGACAACAGAAGTGCAGGCCATCGTTTCGGTGTGCCGTTGATTTGCGCTCACGACTGGCGTAAATTAACTATGCAAGTGGATCTTCGAGTGCACGTCTTCAAGAGAAACCGCCACAGTCTGCACGTGGGGCGACTTCCAGATATTGAAGATGAGCTGGCGAATGAACAAAATATTTGCATGTTTCGTTCGTTAACGAAAATTTCATGCGTGCATGCGTAGTTAGGAGCGTGGTGCAGTTTTATAACACGGGTGCATTGTAATCGAGAATCGCAGTATTTTTCTTCCTGCATCACGTGAATCTGGTGCACGTTCGAATCGGGGGCACGTAGGAATTGGGTAAGTACGGTATTTGGCTTTGTCGCCTCGCTACCTGGCTAGGCATGAAATGAGATGCGATTCTTTGCGCCCCTTCGTGCCACGTGTATCAGAGAAGCCCCGAGACAGACGACCACCCTGCCTCATACAGGCGATCGACAGCCAGACATCCTCGAAAATCTTGGCATGTAGCGTCGTGGAACCTGGACTTGCTGTATATGCTAAAGGTAGCATATACAGTAATTTTAGTGGGATCCTTCCCCACAACTCCTAGCGGAGAAGGGTTCTTGCTGGTGGTCACGGATCACCGCAAAAAGGGGGTAAGACTTTTCCCCCTTACACAGAGATGGCGCGAGTGACTTTGGACAAATTGAAGTGAAGGTTCTCACCAGATTCTGGTTCCCTTAGTATAGCTAAGAGAAGCAAGTCTTAACTGCGAGAGTGTCAGTTGGCACATGCGGCGTCCTTGGTATTAAGCACAAGAAAACTACATAGCATTCTTAGTCGGACCCCGCGGAACGAGTCAATCGCAAGATCAAGCACATGGTTGTCGCGTTCTCTGAGTGGCACAAGGACTGATACCTATACATTGCAGACATCGGCCATTCATTGAGATTGACCGTCAACCGCTCGGCTGAGTACGCGTCTTCTCTGAACCTCGCGAGAGAACCGCCGAAGCCACTCGGTATAGATCCATGGTAGCAAGCAGCGAGAAAAGACTCGCACAATGAAGTTTCGTTTGAAAGGGATAATCTTCCCCAGGCTGTCTGCGTGGGGTGTTCTACCACTCTTTCTTGATACTGCTTTTGGGAAAAAAACACATGAATGTCATTTAATACCCTTAACACACGCAATAACGGCTGAAAGAAGCATGGAATCGTGCCAGGAGCCAAAACGGGTTAATCGCGCAACGAGTGGATTTTTCAAGCTGCCAACCTATTAAATTATACGGCCAAGTGATGGGTACTTCGTCTATTAGCAAAAGAAAACAATGGAGAAGTACACTTGCAGATTGTGCATACAGTTCACATTCTAAGATAGTTTGAAAGGGCCAATTTTACGCGAAAAAACGTTCCTTTCCAATTGCGGCATGGTTGAAAGCAGTGCGCACGCGGGCCCGATTATTAAGCGATCGCGTTCTACTTTTGAAGGCAAAGCTATAAAGGGTCATCCAAGTTTTGTGGAAATATTAGTTTCTCAGTCTAAACTACCACTAAATAAATTAGGTATGTTTTACCACTTTGTGGCCTGTATTTCCGCAACTTGTATTGACAATTGTAAACTGATGCGCACCCCTACACAGGATGCTTCGGAAACTTCCCTGTCAGTGAACACGTACCGTGTGCGCTTCAGCTAAGCAGAACACCTGCAGGGAGTATGCATTAAAAATACGGTAATAAATTTGATGAATTGTATAGCATATTGATGTCCAAGTCCTTGCATTAGAGGGCGCCGAATAGCAGCATTCGCCCCCCCCCCCCATTTTTATTTGGGATACCAATCTGTTGTAGTTACATTTTTAAATAGAATTTTCGTCAATGGTCGTGGACTTAGTTTTAATGAATATTATGTTCACTACATTTTAGTGAAGACCAATTTGGCCCACTTTACAATCACGCTACCTTTACCTTGATTGAAGGAAATTTCGAGCTCGTTTTTTTTTACATCACTTAATTAAAACCAGCGGAAAATGAAGCAAAGTGTAGGGGACGTTCATTTGTTAATTCCTCTGTTGTAAGTGTAACGCAGCTCTTCTGGTGTGGCTGTGAAGAAAATGCAGCAAACAAAACGTCAAACTGCCGCTCGCAGCTAGGAACAGAACCTGCAACCTTCTGATTCCACACACACGATGCTCTTTACCACTCGAGCTATGGCTACAGTCCCCATCCCCCCCTCTTTCCACTTTGTGAGGTAGTTCTGAACTTGCAAGCTTAGGAGTGATATTCAGTTTCTCACATTCATGACGGCGAGCATGGAACACCCTTTTTTGTTGACAGTTGGCGCCACGTAGCCCGGAAGGTTTCAGGTTCGGTATTCGCAGACGCACGTTTCTTGTCATCCCCTCTTATCTATAACACAATTATGACAGTAAGCCTAAAACTATGTAATAAACGTGCCTATCTTCCTTGGCTTCATTATCTGCTTGTTTTCATTAAGGTTACCTTTTACCTTAACAAATTCACGTAGCCATTGGCAACCGATCATAATCAATGTAATACTCTTGAGCAACTATAAAACCTTACCTTCCTTGTTTCTCCTCTTTATTTATTTCTTTAATTTTTGTTTACTTGAAATAAGTGCATTCATTGGTACGTGTATATCTTGAGTCCATACTTTTCTCGTAGATTCGGATGGCTACCCTTCCATCACCCGGTGGCTCACCAACTGGCACCATGGCTGATTCTTCCGGTTTGGAGCAGCAGCCCACCGAGGCTACGACGTCGGAGCGACCATCAAGTCACAAAGAGAGCTTCCCAGATGATAAATGTGCTATTTGCTTGGGACCGGTTGGGAACAAAGCATTTCCCGATGGCTGCAATCACCATTTCTGCTTCTCCTGCCTTGTTGAGTAGGCCAAAGTGAAAGCCGCATGTCCCCTTTGTATGCACCCATTTAAAGGCATAATCTACAACATCCGTTCAGAAAAAGATTACGACCGGCACATCGTCGGGGAGCTGCGACGTTCCTCGTTATGGTCACTTAGTGCCTCTGCGAGCAGCAGTTTTTATCCCCATAAAGGTATATTATGTTCAACATCGACAAGAACGCGAGGGGCAGCCGCAGCTACACAATGCAACTCTCCCAAATCAAATCAACATCAGCAGGCCACGCATAAGGACTGCTTTTAGGCTTCAAATATACCTTAGCGACCTATGGGCTGTGTCCCACGTCCCCAGCTTCCACCAAGTGTCACCAGAGTTCTACCGTGCTAATCCAGATCAAGTTGACCGTCTGGCCCCCTGGCTCAACCACGAGCTAAAAGCATTAATGCAGCTCGACGAAACACGTGTGTTGGCTACTTCAAACAATGTGTGGTCTCTAATATTGGATTTGGACATCAAGCATCCCGACTTTTCTCGAAAAATGGAACCATTGCTCAACGCGCGTACAGAGCACTTCGTCCATGAGTTCTATTCATTTGCAAGTTCATCATCTGAAACGGCTGACGATTACGACAGTCGCACAGTGTACGCTTCATGACCTATTGGTTGGACTGAGGCTAACCCTGTCAATTCTTTCAGGCTGTTATTGCAGCGCTTGGAACGAGCAAGAGCTCGAACATCACCTGCTGCACCAGTTGCCTCAACGTGTGGCCAGCCTGATTCGCGTCGTGCTACTTTAATGGTGGTGAAATCAACCATAGACAATCTCTTTAGCTCTGACAGTTTCCGATGACTTGGTAGACACAGTGGAAGACCAAGTCGGGGACAGAACTGATGTGACCGACGAGGAGGCAGTTTGTGCAAGGGGCGTCACAAGTCCATTAGAACAGGGTGCGGGACCAACTAACTCGCGTAACAGTAATGATCATAAGCCTCTCAGTTGTTTGTCCCAGTTTGTCCCGGAGAGACGAAAATGCGGAGTAGCCTTGGAGGAGTTAGGCTTGCCATTGTGCAACAAGCGATTTGCAAGGTGATGCCGATTACTACATTCAGAAGCGTAACTCCAGACACATGCAACATAGGATTTAATGGAGGCGTACAAAAAACGTGCATGAACGCCAAAACCAGGGTAGCAACGCAATAAAACTTGGTGCAACAGCTTTGGTAGCTGGAGTAGCAAGTTGTCCGAAGGGGACCAGCCGTATTATCAGCCAAAAAGATGTGTTTGGCGTTCTTGGTGCTGGCAACATTAGCAAGCCGCGTGACGCATTCGCCGCAAGGGACATCATTCTCACCCCCTCCATCATAGCGAACGCTGACTGGTTTTGGCAAAAGTTGACCGGAAAATGTAGCTTCACAAGTCGCACTTGCATACTTAAATTTCTTTTTTGGTACGTCTTTCATCTGTATATGTTTCATTGGCTAAATTTTTAGATGTTCGTGTTAATTTTCATTCACCTGCAGTGTGTGAAATCTAAATCATCTTATTCCATTGCTTTGGAAGCTTCGTCATCCATGGCCCACTTCACGGCAAAGTCAGCGACATCGATTTTATTGTCGATGCATGAAATTGTCTTATCTCTACGAACCTGCTTTCATCATAGGACCCAACTTTCTGCCACCCTAGGCTGCGTTTTTCACCACATGGAGTGTCGTTCTCACTTAATGTTTCTATATGTTACGTGGCTAGCAATACCTGGATGCTTTACGTGGTCAGCCTTGGCACTTTTTAAAAGCTCATCTCTAAGGAAACTGTACCTGGGTTGAGCGTCATTGGCCCTCGCTGGAGCCTACTTAACGTGCACAGCTAAAGACCCTCCGTCATACAAGCACACAACGCTCTTAAATCTTTTATCTGCGCCGGCTGGATGATTCTGGAACCTTCGTCATTGAAAGAAAACCAATAAAATATAAAAAAATAGTTGTCTGTGTGATCTTTGCGATACCTGAAAAATGAAACCAGAAATACCGATAAAAATGAAAACAATAAAAAAATCAAATATAAAATAGAGTAACGCATAAGTGTGATAACGGTACTCCTGTGATAACGGTACTTCTGTGACAACGGTATACTGACCATTGCCGCCCGTATGCCATTGCTGTCCAGTCGCGAGCCGTCTGCTGTCGAGAGCATTTAAAGTAATCGACTTCTGCTTTATTCCTTTCGATGCCAGTGCAAAAGGGCCCTCCTCAACGGGAGCCGTTGGTCCGTCTTGGTTCAGACGCCACATGTGTAGGGTAGAACTGCTTGCGTCACATTTGCGACCGAGAGCTCAGCCGTAGTCATTTAAAAGGCTATGGCTTGGCCACAGAAATGCGATCGATGTATTTCCCTCTCCAATATCATACGTGCATCAAATTTGTTCCTTCGGGCTTCTTTGTAGCTCGAAGTAATGCCACCGCCGCCTCACAGTGCTCTTAAAAGCCGGCGCATTGAGCAGCGTCTCCGTGACGCTTTCCAGTTGCCCGCATGGTGCCACGATCGGCGACGTGCTATCTCAGAACAGCGCATCTTTTACAGCTCGTCTTAGAGCCAGCGTTACCGCCAACATTGTGAGCACAAGGAATGCAAGACTCCTCAAATCTGTACACCATGGAAGGAAAATCGTACGAATTCCGACCTGAGGCACCACATGAGCGGTTCTCTCCCTTGTGACCGCGAAATCTAGGTGATGGACTAAAGTAGGGAAGGGCTAGAGAAGGGGGGTGTGAACTGCTGGATCGGGCACATCTGGCAGGCATTGAAAACATGGGAGGCGCTTGATTGATGCTCCACACAGTAGACTGCTCGTGACTATGCTAAAGTATATGTAAACTGGTAGCATAACTTCTATAGAGGCTCATGTATCCAGTAGTTTGTGGCTTGTTGCCACCATCGCCATCTACGTCCCGACTAACAGCTAAGAAAAATAAAAATATGACGTCACAACTAGAAGTGGTGGCGAAGTCGCGCATTTGCCCTACATGTCACGAAATTGAAGTTTTTCTTAATTGCGGACCTCCTACGTGCTGTTGTCAATACGCAATTTTATTGCGCCTTATGACTAGCTTTGTGCGTGAGGGAAAAGAAAGACGAACAAGAAAGATCGAGGAATCAAAGTTTTGTTAGCCACATGGTGCACCCGCAATATACATCGAAAACTTATCACATGAAATTATAACACAACTGTTCGGAGCACAATAGCATCATAGTTTAAAAACGAAAACTTGCGTTGCCCAATCGTGGAAAACCACTACAGCGAGACTGAAGCCTTGAGAATGTACCCTTTGCAACCGCAGAGTACAGCGTCTCGTTACTTAGTGTCGCATTCACCGTCACCAAAGGCTACAACACGCCAGCCTTGTGCCAGCGGTATATGGCAGAAAGAAAAACGCGGCGATTATATGGTGGCGAAGAAAAGGTGAAGGTAAACAAGAAGCGGCACGTCCACCAGAGATGATTTGACGAGCCAAGCGACAAGCATTCTTGGAACTCTTAACAAACATGTGCTGCGCAGTGCATGAAGCCCCCTAAGGTCCACAGTAAAGCAACTATGCATGTAAAACTGTGCGACGCAAGCAGGTTGGTCCTCTGCAGAGAGGTAAGGATGGGGTGGATCACATTTGGCAAGCATTCTCAAATCATGAATGGTAATCTGCCACTAACCCTCAAGAGTAAAGTACATAACAGCTGCATCTTGCCGATACTTGCCTATGGAGCAGAAACGTGGAGGTTTACAAAGAGGGTTCAGCTTAAATTATGGACGATGCAGGGAGCGATGGAAATAAGAGTGATAGATGTAACCTTAAGAGACAAGAATAAAGCAGAGTGGGCCAGGGAACAAGCCGCGGTTAACGATATTGTAGTTGAAATCGAGAAGAATGAATGGAAATGGGTTGGGCACGTAGCGCATAGGCAGGATAGCCGCTGGTGATTAGGATAACTCACTGTATTCCCAGTGAACGCAAATGAACAAAGGAAAGACAAAAAGATAGGTGGGCTGGTGAGACGAAAGAGTTCGCAAGCATAACGTGCAGCAGGAATGACAAGACCGGGTAAATTGGCGGATCATGGGAGAGACCTTTGCCTTGCAGTGGGCATACAGTCAAGCTGGTGATTTTTACAAGACTAGCAGCTCATGTCTCTAGTTTCGATGTGTTACTTATCTGTTAATTCTAAAGACAACAGAAATTTAGGTGATAGGTGTGAAGCAATAAAAAAATCCTGAACCCGTGATGCCTTAGCAGTCGCCAAATATTTGTGGTAAAAAGTGCCAGCACACCCGTGCCTATAACCCTCACCTTGTTACAAAGGGTACAACAGCAAATAAACATAACCATTAACTTCCTTAAATTCAAGACTCCAACTAAGCACTCGCCACCTAGCGGCCGCACCTGGAAACAGTGCTAACAGGGTCAACCTTGAAATGAGAAATGTTGCCTCATTGCATGCGTTGAGAAATGGCCGGAAAGTTTTTTTTATTTTTGCCATGCCGCACGCGCAAGCCCGAAAAAGAGGAAAGAGAGTCCCAAAGACAACCAAAGTGTCCCAAACTGCGTTGCATTGTGGCGGAAAGATGAAAACGTGTCGTTTGATCACTTCCCGAAGGATTCAGAAGACACGCAACGGAGAACGGCTCAAGTCGGAAACTTGCACAATGGAAATATGACACACGGTAGTTTGTCCTTATTAATTTCTTCGCGATGACCTAATTCTCCTCGGTGAACACATCATCACGTATGTTTGCATTTTTATCAATACTCGGGTTTATAAGCGCTTTAGTCAATTCATTGCGTTACGTGTGATACTGTATCTTTCACATATGCTTGTTTTTTGTGCAAGTCGGAATGCTACCAATTCTCAAAGTATGCTGCCGTAATCCCTGGTCCCGTCCATTGTTACTTTCGAATATGGGTATATACACGCTCAGCAACGTGCGGGTCGTGCGTGCGTAGCGTGCATGCGTGCATCTATGTTTGTGTGCATAGTCTTCCTTCCCCATGTTTTGTTATCGTCCCGTTACACTGTAAATCAACGCCTGAGGTTATCAAGAAGCTTCAGCACATAAGTTAAGATTACGTGCACTACATTGCAGATTATTCTAAAACCTACATGGGTGCCAGCGATAACACTGAAATATTCGACGGCACATGTATAAGTGCCAACGCGCTTCACCACTTGCGAGATGATCAGCAGCCAACGCTTTGTTCGCCGCTAACAGTGCCAGTGTGTAACGCTGTAATCTGACTTTCCGTTCACCGGCCACAAATACGGCCCAATAAAGCTTTTCTTCGATTAATGTGGAGCTTAACGTCCAAAAACCGCCATATAATTATGAGACACCGTAGAGGTGGGCTCCAGAAATTTCAACCACCTGGGGGTTATTTAACGTGCACCCATATCTGAGCCTACAGCATTTTCGCCTCCATCGAAAATGCAGCCGCTGCAGCCGGGATTCGGACCTGCAGATCTACTGCAGTAAATGCCGGCCTACTGCAGACACCAATGCTGGTGTCTGTGCAGTAGGCCGGCATTTACTATGCTACCCTTCGTCATTCTTCGAGGAAGTGTGGTATCCGCTAAACACTTGCAAGGAATTTTGCAGCCCAGATTCTTAGCACCACGGCGGGGCAAAGTTCCATTCGTCGTTATCACGACCCCGTGACACTATCATGTCCGTGAATATCAACTATACTGCTAACACGGAGAAGCGTGTGTTCGGAAGCATATGACCTCATTCATGAGAAACTTCATAACATGATCACAAACGAAAAGAAAGCACTCCTATTACAATGGGAATCATGATTTGCCTTATCTGTCCCAAACATAACTCTGTTTTGAAATCGAGTGAACGTAGTGCGCCTTTGATGGGACAACGGTACTCAATGGCATTCATGTGATCGGCAGCACGAGTCGCAGCATCCTTATTTTATTGCTAGCAGCCGCTTAAAGAATGAACTGATAGAAGTTAATTCAGTACCAGTTCTGAAACAAAATATTCAAGTGGCGAATTTTCAAAAAATGTTAGCGTGAATATTTGACACTTGCATAGCATGCTTGCATATCGATCATTTTGACCGAACACAATACGGGTTGAATACACGCTCCCCTAAATTGTTTGAATTGACGCTCGGTACAGATAGTCACTAGCTGGTCAATAATTCCATTTGACTCACTCAAAAAACGCTCAATTCATCCGCAAAAATTGATATTCAATAGAAACACGGTGGCCAATATTCTTGTGAAACCCAATAAAAATTCAATAGACGCTTAATTTAAACACAGTACATCCCTTGGAGAAAAGTCAATATACACTCCCCTAAATTATTTCGATTGACACTCGGTCAATTGCTGGTGAATAAGCCCTTTTGACTCACTCAACTGACACTCAATTGATTCGGGAAAATGATATTCAATAAAAGCACGGTGGTTGATATCCTTGTGTAACGCAATAAAAAACTTAATAGACGCTTACTTAAACAAAGTACATCCTATGAAAAAAAGTCGATTTAGCTTCAATTAAATTGCTATAAGCATTTTTGTAAGGGATGCTGCTCATTTGTAGCATAGATGTAGCAGCTTTAACGAAATTTAGCAGGTTTCAGTAATTGCAGCAGCATTACCATCACTAGCTGTCACAGAACGAGCGCTCAAAAAGAGCGCGCCGCCAACTCCTCGCGACGAAACGCCCGAGTGACGCCGCGAGGTCAACGATAAAAAAAAAGAAAAAAAAGAAAACAAGCTCCCCGGGCCCGCTCTCTCTCCCCGCGGAAGCGTGGCTTCGCCGACGAACCTCCTCACCCCACAACGGCGGCCGAGCAAGCACTCGATCTTTCTAGATGGAAAAGGGCGTGGTCATACCGAGTTGAGTCATCCGTCGCGGAGGGCATTCGAACCGTCTCGCCCTCTCCCCAGCCTTCGCTGCGTATCGCGCCGACGAA